ACAACAGCCCTAAACTCTGCTCTGTCCTGTGCCAATCGCACTGTCTCTGACACACCCATCCAGATTACCCCAGTCACTGAATCAACTCACCTCATAGAGGGCCTTCCTCTCCTGTGCTGTCCCTCCACCCTCCCAAGCATGATGTCCCTCTCCAAGGACCGGTCCCTCCTTATGGGAAAAAAAAAAACCAACCCCCCAAAAAAACAAAACCCCACAAAATTGACTAAATTATGAGACGTTGTTAAAAACAAAATCTAAGAAACTTAGTTTGTGTGTGTGTACCATCAAGTCAGATCCAACCAGGACAGGAGGAGACTGCCCCTCCTTCTCCAGCAGAGAATCTGGTAGATTCGAACCACGTGCCTTTGGGATTGCAGAGTAGCTTCTTGCCACTGGGCCACCAGAGCTCCTTCAAACGTAGACAGCTATAGTGGCATAAAACTCCGCACTCTGTTAAAAACATTGCTCAGAGTTTCTTAAATTATTTTTCTGGAACATAAACCACAGGTTCATTTTAATCAACACAAACTACAATCATTAAGATATCAGCTTTTAAAAAAAGGATTTAATTTCCTATTGGCTACTAGTATTCACTTTGATGCATATTATTTGTCTTCAACAATTCCAATTAAGATTGGCTTAATTCTTTTTTTTTAAAAAAAACAAACCCACACATCGTACAGGTTCAGTAACCTAATGGCTGGTATTAACAGTGATAATCTAGTTATTTCATCATAAACTACTTTTCAGACTACATTTTTAAATAATAAAGTTGGAGATTTTAATTGCATAAGTATTTGTTTAAACATTTATAAATACCTACTCTACAGACTACCTAGTGGTTATAAAAGATTAACATCTTCACTATACACAAGATAAACTGAAGCTGCTTCATAAAAACAAACAAACAAACAAAAAAACCCCAAACAAAACCAACCGATTTCAATGTTTCATGACTTAAGAGTTTAATTTATACCAAAAGCAGTATTTTAAAGTCTAGGGGCTTAAACAGAAGAGAGAAATTCTGGCTCTCAATTTGAAATCTGAGAAGAATGCAAATGATCTTAGTATTAATGACATGTTAAAAACTGTCTTTCAGGTAATGTACAAGCAGTCTTGTGCAGAAACGGTACAGGATTTTGTCTAACCAAAGAACACACAATGAAAAATATAATGGAAAGAAGAAGAATTCTTGATGACGGTGCAAAAATTGCCTCAAATGAACCCAACGAGCTTCTAGAAGGGCGAACAAAAACCACAAGAGGCCTGGGGTTTCATGGAAATGCCAAGCTAAAAAAGTTTATGATCCCAGCACCTGAAACTATCTCAGTGCCCATCGACGACCTGTGTCAGTTCCTCGTCGTGGCTACCGACGGGCTGTGGGACGTGCTGGACAAGAAGGAAGTCGTCATGGTGGTGATGACCATGTTCCGTGCCTACAAAGCCGGGTTCTGCTCCGGCACACACAACCAGCACTCACCCTCCAAGCTCAGCGAGGCCACCACCATGCAATCAGAAGGCAGCATCTACACACTCTATCAGTATGAGCCTTCCGAGGAACACGTGGCAACCAGACACTCAAAAGAAAATACCCTGGACAACAAATATTTGGAATGTCCCACTTTTAACCTTGAAAACCTAGAAACGCGTCCACCTGAATTGATTAATCTTGAACCTCACAGCAGGAGAAAACCCAATGAGCCAGCCTGTGTGGGTGATCGGCCAACAGACCCAAAGGGGATGGAAAATGAACTGTATAACAAGAAGGATTTCTACGAGGCCGCAGCGAAGCACATCAGCTGCAAACTTGTCAAGGCCGCGTTAGGAGCGGGCTCCAGGAGCAACATTACGGTGATGGTCATACTCCTCAGTGGGAGTGCGTATCAGCTTCTCATATAAAAGAGAACTATCCGGAATAGAAAGAGGAAACATAAAGAGAATTCTGCAATGCATGAGAAGTCAGGATAAAACGAGAGTAAAGGACAGAAGAGGAGCAGCTTCTGAGGGTAAGTAATACCATTTATGCTTGTGGTTTTCTGCCAGGAAAAAGCAAAGAACCCAAACCTGCTGTTTATACCACTTTATTCAAACCTGAGCACCTCGATAGAAAACTAACCACGGGTGAACTGTGTCCCTTCCTAGTTCTGAAGGACTGTAAATGTACAAGTTCTGCTAGCAGTTGAGCAATTAAATAGATTCAATCATCTCTGACACATGGTAAATTTGATACAATGAAAACAACTGAAAGAATTAGTGCAATATACCAAACTGACCAAAATAAAAGGAACTTTGGAAAACAAGGCGGACTGAGAGATCATTACTAACATGGCAACACTTGTGTTAACACCTTACAGATACACTGTCTATTATGGGTCTAGCAATGTAAGAACAACTGCATCCCCTTCTTTCAAAAGGAGAGAGAAGGAAATAATTAGCTGTTTTAGTAACTGTACATTTTGAATACTTTTAAGCAACTCTTAAATATTACAGAAAAGTATTAAACATATATGGAGGCTACAAGGCAGCAGTACCCTATGGACAGTACATCTCAACAGTGAACTGAAAAGAATCAAGTTTAAATGTACATAATTGTTAGTGCATCCACTAGACTGGATCCGAGGGGGATGAGCTCCCTCCCTGCCCCCACACACCAAAACCACCCTATGCAAATGGCCAGCAGTGATCACCCCGAAACCAGACGCCCGCTCTGCCTCCTTTCTGGTGGAGAGCGTGCGTGTTTGAAGGAACGCTATCCATCAAGGTGCACTGAGCAGTGTCCACATATCACCAACAAGATGGGTTACACTGGATTTTCACCACCATTTCAAAAATAACAGGACTGTCTGTCATTTACATACAGTACACCACCAGTGTTCATTTTTCTTCAGAAGATTTGGAACTCTGTTCTTGTGGTTAATTTATTAAAACATGGAATGTACACTTTAAATATGGATACCAGGTGAAGTTACCATTTGCCTGAATACTGTGGCTAGCATAAGTATCTTTAGAGTCATCTTCTAATAAGGTAATTTTTTGAAAAGCCCAAATTAGCTAGGTTCCGAATCTTTCTCCAAGGCTGTCCTATTTTACCAGCGTGGCGGAAGTTACTGCTAACTGTGGGTGCAGAGTCATCGCCCCACAGCGCGGCTGGTAAGAAATGATGCCCCCCAGTCTTCCAACAAAACAAGTACACAGACATACGGCTCTCACCTTCCTGTCTATTGCTGAGACATTAGTCGGAGGGACACATGCATGTTATTAAAAATTAAGTTCAAAACACTTAAAAGAATTCTGTATTAGAAACTTGACTCTATGGTCAGTGTCTTCTTGTGGGAGTCGCTGCGGGCTGGTTAAACGCTCCGGTTGCACTGTGAACGTGTGGAAAGCAGGAGGGCACCCAGCTGGTTCCGAGAGTTAGTTACTACAACACTGGCTCCTGGCTGGCTGCGTGGGCTCCGTCAGGTCCACTCCTCTCGCTCTGGCCGAACTGCTTCCCGGATTCTGTGGTTCATTCTTTGGCAACTTTTTAGCTGATAAATAAACGGAATTAGATGGTTCACGTTAAAATCAGGTCAGCTGCTTATTGAAAACAATCGTTCCAAAAAAAAAAAAGGGAAGAGAACGAATATAAGGAAAAGTAATTAGAAAGAGTAAGACTTTTTGTTGGTTCATATGCATCTCAAAGTTGGATGATGGATATGGACGACAGAAGAAGTACAAATCCCTCTGGACTGCGGTGTTAAGCAAAGAGCACTGACTACCCCCCAGACTGCCAAAACAAGTAAGCAAATCTGTGTTACAAGAAAGGCTGCCATCCACGAGATGCTCTGCCGGAGAAGGAGGCGCAATATCCTCCTGTACCAGTCAGATCTGATTTGACGGTACACGCACACAAAAGAATAAAAAATAATAAAAAAAAAAAAAATTAAAAAAAAAAAGGCTGCCAGGGACAAGTGCTGCTCCCAGAGACGGCAACCCTGTCCCACATACACTGACCATGCTGTCAGGAGGGGCCTGTCCTTGGAAACAGACATCACGTTGGAAAAGGCGGAGGCTCAAGGAGAGGGTCCCTTCAAAGAGAGGGACCGTCACAGTGACCGAGTCCATGTGACAGAGACGGTGAGGGGGGCTCAGGGCAGGCCATCAGGTCTGCTCTTCACAGGGTCACTGTGAGTGTAGCTGACTTGATGGTACCTAACAGCCACCACAACAAACACGGAGAAAAACCAAACCATGTTCTCTTTTCATTGTTGCTTTCTAATTAATTACCTCGAAATACCAATTAACATTACATTCATTCTTTTCAAATATTTATACCAAGTATTTTTAAAACTTTTCTTGAGATGAGTGAGAGTATACAGACAAACTGGTTTCCCATTCACACCTTTTACTGCGTATCTTGAAATGCCAGAACACTGGCGGCTCCAGCAGGGAGTCTGATACATTCTGGTGTATACTGGAGATGGACCCACTGCAGACACTAAGAACTGAACTTGGTAAGACTTAACAGCAGTTTGGTATATAGAAAAATTTCTTTCATTCTACCAGAAAGAAAAGCTGTATTTTATTTGGTAACATTAATACTTATTTTAAGAAAAATATGTTGATAATAAAACCCAAACATATTGTTGTGGAGTCAGAAACCAGCTCCCTGCTGCCCCGGCAGTGGGCTTTCCAGCAGCTTTAAAGTGACCATGAGAAGAGTGTCCACCTTTCTCCAAAGGAGATGCTGGTGGAATCGAACCACCAAAGAGGCCTTGGCTTAGCAACACAACGCTCTACCAACGACACGTGCTCACCAACCAGGAGTCCTGGTTTCAGCTCTGCTAAATGCTACCAGTGGCCGTTCTCTGGAACACACACACTTCTCCTTCATTAAGATTTACCTGCTAGATTCACAGTCTGCTCCAATCCTGATGTCCTCAAGTGTGTTTGGTTTACATTCTGAGGGCACTGTTACTATCATCTCTATTCCATGTCACTGGTTATAAACCTGGTTGTCTCTCAACCTTAGAGATGGACTGTCATGGTAAACCCTAGCTTTCCTGTAGCTTTGATTCAGGACACTCATAAGTTAAGTGTCTAGCTAGCTGCACTGCAAATCCTTTGTCCTTTTTTTGTTCTGTATATCCCAGATCAACGGCCTGCACTTTCAGAATCGTGGGTGCTGGACAATGTGTGTGAGGGGCAGGAACACTAAGACGGGAAAGAACATTTTCAGGGTGGGCCGGTTGTCTCTCACTGTTCACAGAATGGCAGTGTAAATGGTAATGTGATTACCAAATGATAAATAGAAATTTCTAGTCAAGCATTTACAAGCAAATTGCAGTAGCTACTGAAGTATTCAGGGTAAAGGTTAGTTACCATTATATACTGCACTGTTAAGTAACACCAACTTGGACCCTGGAATGAGGAGAGCGAGACCCTTTCTTTCCTTGGTATCCCTCTCCAAGGAGGTAAGTAAGGAGGAGCTTTTAACAACACTGACTAAAGATGCAGATTCTACCTGCTATCTATGTGGAAAACTGCAGTTAGCACGTTGCCACACACTTTTAAATTGATGACCATGCTTAGAAACATTTTTTTCCTTTCGATGTATTACGTCATTTGCGGCAATGTGTTAACTGTTTCCCCCGAAATACACGTTGCAAATAGTATCGTCTCAAGTAGAATGGGGGAGAGTGATGCCATTCTGAGATTTCCAAGGAATGAGACAAGGGTTCCCCACAGTGGAGCCTTGAGCCAGCGCTCTAAATACCAAGTCCTTGACCGCTAAATGACAAAGAAAACCATTTCTGCTCAGCAAACCACCCTCCTCCTTGCGGCCCTTCTATGACTATAGAAGCCCACAGACGTGGAAACCGTTCCTGAACCGTCAAGACTGTGAGGAATTATTCCAGACCGAGTTAGAAGATGCACAAGGAAAGCAGCAGCACAACGTTTCATCAAACTTCGGACAGACCACACAGTTACTGTACACCGCACACACGCATCTGTCCAATTAAGCATGCTCTCTTTGGGAAATGGTAGAAAAGAACATCAAAGGAGACGCAGGCTGGCTTATTAGAAACCACAAGGTTGCACAGTTTGGCGGGTGGAGGGAGGTGGGGAAGGAAATGGGAAGGATCAGAGTGATGAGACATAAAACACAGGGTAATGATGGGCAAGGTCCAATGGTGATTAATTTTATAAAGCATATAATGCAGGAGAATGATTATATGAAACACACTGTGAGTGAAGAATAGTGTGAAACACATTGTACACAAACTCTGTAAGCAAACCAATTTTAAAAAAGTAACTGAAAACTCTAACCTATAGGCTACTTTCTAGTTGAAAAAATATCCTTATTAGCACATCTAAATAAAATGTACAACATTTTTTAGGTGTCTAGCCAAGTTTTAATACCCTTAGAAAGAGTAAGAGACTGATTTGCAGGACCTAGTCCTTGTCAATTTGTGTTTGATGACTAACTTTTCAGATAATGTTCCTTAATGTACCTGCAACCATTTGTAAAGAAAGTGTACGGAGTACCATCTGTCACCACTGGGCCAATATTTCCCTAGCAACGGCAAGCGAAAGTCGCTCACAAAAATATTTTATGTAACAGGCAATTTTTCTGAGATGAATCAACTCTCTCACCTAGTGAAAAATGAAGAATTTTCTTAGTTGTCAACTGGCTAAGTTGTGTGTCTTTAATAGGAAACTGTATTCAGAGACAGGTATGTGGACACCTCAGTTAAAACCAGCTTCTGTACAATATGAAAACCACTGCAGGGCAAGAAAGTACTGTGCACAGAAAACAGAAAAGGCAGTGAGCTGCAGGAGAGGCACCAATGTCGCTTCAGAGGTCGCATCTACACCTTAAAAAAAAAATCACTGCAGTGCCGACAGAACTAGCTTTATTTTGGCTACAGAAAAAGGAGAGTTCCTTCACGCCGCCAGTCTGATCGCCTCCAAGGAGCTACTGGAACAGCAAGCATTAGCTGAAGGCACCTCAGCAGGAAGGTAAGGGCTGGGAGGAGAAGCTCCTGTGAGGGGCCTCTGCCCTGGAGACCCTACGCTTTGAACTCTGCCCCACTACAATGTCACCATGAGAAGAATTTCTCAGTGGATACTTAATGTGCTGCTTGTCCTTTCACGTTTTCCAGCTCTGTGATTATGTGAGAGATTTAGAGAATTACTGGCCAGTGAGGAAGAAATTTCATTCTGTCTACACATTCTCAGGAAATAATCATCACTGTGCGTTTTAGCTCCATTTTCCTATGAAAAGTATAGGCCAATGGGAAAAACCTGTTTGAGCCATTTCATCAAAGTTTAAGATTTCAATTTATATAGAAGAAACATAGGGTATTAGAGACTAATTGGTAAAAATGTAATGTTAAATTTAATAATATACAAAACACTCTCAGGTATAAGAGCCCTAGAATGCTAGAATAAGGATAAAAGTTTACGGGGGGAAAAAACTCCAACTTTTAAAAGGAGACTGTCACCCAATTGTCATGAACAGAATAACATACAAATGAGAGTATATTCCTATGACGGATTATTATCAGGTGGAAGTAGGAACAAGGCTTGGCTGCACGGCACAAGAGGCAAGCACAATCATGAGCAAAGTAACCGAATCACAGAAGAGCGCCACGGTCACGATCCCATTTAGAGCAAACTCAGAAGAGGCAAATGCAGAAAGGCAAGTCTATTAGTGGATAGCAGGCACTGAGCAAAGGGAAATGATAGGAGGCTGGGACACTCAAACAACATGCTCAAGAGAATTACTGTCACTAGATTACACACTTCAATGGTTAAAATGGCAAATGCTTGGTAATATCTATATTTCGTCACAATTTTTTAAGAAAGTCAAATCAAGTATGTTACAATTTAACTTATTTTACCTACATTTATGTTTTATAAAAAAAGTTCTTACCTATTGCCAAAAAGATTTCATTTACATTCATTGATGTTTTAGCTGATGTCTCCATGAATAACAAACTGTTATCATCTGCGTAAGACTGTGCTTCCTGTTCAAAGAACAAAAACAAGGAAATCTATTTTTTGAACATGCTACATCTAGTTTATTGTTACAGGGGGGGAAAAAAATTAAAAAACAAGAGGGTGGTGTGCTTATTACTATTTTGATGACTGAACCAACAACTATGCAATCAGCAATTACCAGTTAAAACTGACTCCCTGAAGGTGCCAAGTCACCCACTGACAGAGAGGCTGGGGGTCCAAACCCGCCCACCTGTGCTTTGGGAAGCAAGGTGCTCTTATTTCTGAAAGGTCACAGTGTGTAAATCCTACGAAGTATGGTTTCCTGCAGCACACACCAGGAGGGCATCTGGTGGGGCCCACTTGCCATTCCTGCTAAGCTGGTGGTAGTGAGTTCAAGGCTCTTCTAGGAAAGAGTGCTACACATAGAACTGCCCATTTTTTGAAGATTCTCACCACTGGACCAACTGGCAGCATCAGGATGGATGGTGAAGAGATTGAGATTGTTTACAGCTTCAATTTGCTTGGCTCCATGGTCAACACTCTCGGCACTAGTAGCCAGGAAATTAAAAGATGTATTGCCATGGGAAAGTCTGCTGTTAGGGACCTCTCCAAAGTACTGAAGGATAATGGTGTCTCTCTGGAGACTAAGGTGCCCCTGATACAGGCCATGGTCTTTGCAATCACTTGTTATGCATCAGAGAGTTGGACAAAGACTAAGGAGGCTAGAAGGAGAATTGAGGCCTTTCGGCTGTGGTGCTGGAGAAGAGTATTGAGGGTACAATGGACTGCTAGGAAAACAAACAGATTCAACCTTGAGAGGGTTAAACCAGGCTGCTCCTTGGAGGCAAGGATTCTGAGGCTCCGTCTGACATACTTTGGACATGTTGTAAGGAGGGACCAGTCCTTGGAGAGGGACATCATGTTTGGGAGAGTGGAGGGACAGTGCAGGAGGGAAAGGCCCTCTATGAGATGGACTGATTCAGTGATTGGGGTAATTGGGATGGGTGTATCGGAGATGGTGCGATTGGCACAAGTCAGAGCAGAGTTAAGGGCTGTTGTACATAAGGTCGCTATGAGCTGCAAGCGACTCGACAGCACATAACAACATCTATTTTTAACATCTCTTCTTTTTATCTCGTTTTACTTTAATTTCTCTTTATACTACCCTACCCAGGCTAAGCCAGTTTTTGCATTAAAGTTGCTTTCAAATGAGGACTTCCAGAAGGAAAGAAAATGATCTTACTGCAAATATAAAACAATGCTGGGTCTCAAAGGTCATTTTTACTGATGCCCACTAATTCCATGTAGACCAAGGACGACTTCTCCCCATAAAGGGTCTAGCTACCACCACGTGTTGAGGACGTAACGGTCTTGGAAAGACTGATGGATTACACCTTACAGAGTGACTCACAGAAAGGATCTGGGGCACACATAACCTACTCACAGAAAAAAAACACCAGGCTAATCATAAATCATTTCACTGCGCTGTGGCAAATGTGAAAGTCAGACAGACTTGGGTTTAACGTAAAATTCAAACACTAGTCACTTCAGTCACTCACCTACAGTTTTTACGCAGCTGTCACAAGAAGGAAATGTGTGTAGCATGCCTGGCTCAGTAACTAAGGTGGCAGGAAATAGCAGTCAATGGGTTCTAACAGATCTCCCTCACCTGCCCTTATTACAAGTACACTGACATTTACATACAATGGCTCTACCCAGACTTCTCTGAGAGAAGCTGACAAGGCAAGATAACCAGCCGATTTCAATTTCCTTGGCTTAAGCTGGAATGCTGCTCGCATCCTCTCTATTTTGCAGCAGAGAGCACGCTGGATTTGCTGTATTACATAATGAAGATAAATAATGAACTTTTTGTTTTTGAATGTTTTCTTAAGAATAACCATATGATTATGAATGTGTCCCTGAATATATGTGTAGTGATGTGTATCACTGGAAGATGAATTTAAAAAACATTATGAAGGACATTAGTTAAAGAGTTTGTGCAGGCAGTGGTTGGATGGGACAATTAATTTTTACTTCTTTTTTTTTTAATTTATGCACGTATGTGCCAATTCAAACATTTATTTTGTTAATTGTTTAGCTAAACATACTTTTCTCAGATTTAGAAAGTCAGGTTTATCAGTAGAAATAGTTTATAAACAGAACATTGCATATATCCAAAAGGAAAATCCTGTACTATTATTTTTAAATTACAATTCAAGTGTAGACGCAGAAGAAAAAGAGTTTAATGACTATATGGCTACAAGCGAAAGTCAAACCCCACGTACCTGGAAATCTACAGCTCTTTTATTTGCTAAGTCAGCCTTATTTCCTGATAAAGCTATGACAATGTTGGGACTTGCTTGCCTCTGAAGTTCTTTAACCCAGTTTTTTGCTCTTGCGAAGGATTCCTGTTAATACAAAGATAAAGCAGCTTGGCATTGGCTCAAAACATGGTCAGGGAACATCTCTGTGAAAGAAGTTGAACAGAATTCTCAGTACTGAAGATGGGAAGACCTCCTGAGAATTCCTGGATCATTTGAGATACTTTGATCTCATTTAAATATTAACTTATAAAAGCCATGCTTGGGTGTTTTGGTTTTTTTTTTTTTATAAAGCCCCATCACCTCCTTTCTCCACCCTGAAGCTGAGAAATGGGTACCCGGCCTGAGTGCGTGGTGGGAGCTCCCGCCCTCACCTCATCTGTGAGGCCCCTCACCTCATTCGTGATGTCGTACACGACGATTGCAGCCTGCGCTCCGCGGTAGTACATCGGTGCCAGACTGTGGTAGCGCTCCTGACCAGCCGTGTCCCATATTTCAAACTTGACTGTGGTGTCATCAAGACACACAGTCTGGGTGAGAAAGGCAGCTGGAAGAGGAAAAGGGCTGCAGTAAGTTGACATCACTACTCTAAAATTTATTTTCTAACAACAGACCAGCAGCAAAGCTTTTATATACCGCGAGTCCACAGTTAACGGCTTTCAGAACTGTGCATCAAAGAGAGGAAACGTCATCGAAAAGGCCCCACCCCAAGCGTGCAGCAAAACCATAGACTGAAAAAGTTGTTCTACATTGAAAGAAGTCTATTAAAATGTTCAGTAAGTTTAAATGTCCATTCCTCAATGTGTAATTTTTAACAACTTAAGGAACACGTTTATATGGAATGTGGGAGGAAGAGATCAATCAGCACCCCTGGAACTACAATCCGCCCGGCAGCACCTGAGGCCCCAGGAGCACCAGAGTCCCAGCCCCTTCACCGTCCTCCTGCTTCTTCCCGGCATCCTCTGGGGATTTAAACCCATCTCTTTACCATTACATCAGCACTTTTGGATGGTGTATCACTCTTTCAAACATTAGGACACTTTCAGTTTGTCCTCATAATTGAGCTGAGATGCAATTTCTTTAGTACAGACTCAATATTGACTTCTACCTTTTCATTCCTGCTGTATCTTCCTTTCACTGTCAGCTCAAGGTGTGAAGTGACAGCCATTCTCCTAAACTAGTAGATGCTTTAAAAACTTTTTCTTAAAATCTGCCAACCATGCAAGAAAATTATGATCCATTTCTCTAATAATGTCACTATTTTCTAAGATACTTACTGGTGAATAAGATAAATTATACCAAACAAGCCAAGTTTTTTAACGATTGCAGCATAAAACATCCATCTGGGGAGCTCTGGTGGCCTAGTGGCAAGGAACTGCAACTACAATCCCAGAGGCGCGTGGTTCGAACCCACCAGATGCTCTGCCGGGGAAGGAGGGACAATCTCCTCCTGTACCAGTCAGATCTGATTTGACGGTACACGCACACAAAATAGTAATTACAAAAAAAATCCATCTACTTTTTATGCTTTTTAAAAAAGGGTATGTGATTAACAATTTTTTTTTTAAGAAGCCATTATATAAGTCTTTAATGAGAAGGATAGACAAGGGATTGAAGGGATTTTGATGAGAGTGAGTGCATTCCATTTAAAATTCACAGAAAATGGCACAGAGAAGCCACATTTAAGGTAAGCTTTGAAGGAATCTTTGAGACGATGTAGTGGCATAATCCATCAAGTGTCGTGCTGCTAAGCAGAACACCCTGCATTTCTTTTTTTTTTTCTATAATTATATTTTAT